AGACCGGCGGCGGCCGCCGAAGGTCGACGCGGACGGCGACCGCACGGGCCACTCGTACTACCCGAGTGCCAAGTACGAGCGCGTCCTCGGCACTCACATCACGGGCCAGTCCAACCACGCGCGCGACTCGCGGCTCGTCCTCACGTCCGCGGACAGCGTCATCTCCGGCCCCGGCTCCGCTAGCGTCCAACTCCACGACGAAGCGTGCGGCTTCCGCGTCGAGAACCTCGCACTCGACGCTAAGCTAGCCACGGCCGAGGTCATCGGCCTGCTCAACAAGCGGTCCTACCACCCGGACGCCTTCAGCCCGTCCCGCAAAGCCTTTCACGCCAAAGACCTTACCTTCCCGTGCCTCTATGCGGACCAGTACCCCTACGTGGACACCAAGTGGTCCGTGCCGAAGAAGCTCGACGTCGCGTTCGACCTCGCGCACGCGGAGTTCGGCAACCAAGGGCGGACCGAGGTCACGGGCGCGTGCCGCGACGACCTGCTGCACAATGCCGCGGGCTTCACGTCTGATTACGTCCCATTTCCTGATTCTGCTACGATAAGCAAGCGCTGGTTCGAGGATCGGCGCGTCTGCGTTGCGCCGATGGTGCCGGGCGAGTCCGGCCAAACGGACCACCGCGACGCGCGCGTGTGCAACGAGTTCCAGCCGCCGAAGAAGAAGATCCCGCCGCTGACGATGGTCTTCGTCCTCTACCTCCGGAAGCTCGCCGACGGCTCGTTCGAGGAGGCGCCCGACGTCGACATCAAGGACGTGTCTGGCGTCCGCTTCCGCACCGTGCCCCGCACGGGCGAGACGCGGGACACGAGCGAGGACTTCGAGATCCGCGTGCCGCACGGCGGCTTTTGGGCCATCTGCGCCCGCGCCAACGCGTACTACACGCACGGCGTGTTCTGCGCGAAGGACTCGAAGCTGCCGCCGGGCGTCTACCGCGTCCCCGTCATCTTCTCCAACTACGGCCGCGCGAGCGACGACTAGGTATGGGTAAGGAGCAGCCGCTGACTCCTGTAGGACTCGCGCGCGCGCGCGGCCGGCCGGCCGTGCCGTCGGCATCATCGATGTTGGACTAGTTATTGAAGGGGATCATCCGGGCGCGAATCAGCTCGAGGTGCATGCACTGTGCCGTGGACGTCGAGTCGTCCATGGCCACAGCGCGTTCAAAGCACGTCAAAGCCTGCCTTACCGCGTCAACGCGACAAAAAAAAAAAAAAAAATCGCTAAAAAGTTTGGCAGCATCGACGCGTGTCGCGCCGCTGTGCTGCCAGCTCGCTGCAGCGATGCTGCGCCTCGCGGTCGGAATCGCCGCCGCGCTGAGCTCGCCGCTCGCACATGCCGAAACGACGACGCGCGCGCCGCCCGAGGAGAGCGCTGGCTCGCTGCGATCGAAAGCTGACGAGGCGCTCATCAGCGGGCGGACCGACGAGGCGCTGAGCCTGCTGGGCAAGGCCATCGGCCTCGAGCCCCTCAACGAGCGGAATCTGTACAAGCGCGCGCGCGTCTACCTGCGCGCGAAGCGCATCGCGGACGCCATCGGCGACCTCGGCGCCGCGTTAAAGCTCGCGCCCGAGTACGAGGCGGCGCTGGCGTCGCGCGCCAAGGCGCTCGCGTCCGTGGGCCGCTGCGCCGAGGCCGGCGAGGACTGGAAGGTCGCGCGGCTCGTGGCGAAGAAGGACGCCGCGAAGCGCGACGCGGACGCGGGCGCGGCGGCCGCGGCCGCGTGCGTCAAAGAGCTCGCCGACGCCGCGAGGGCGCGGAAACGGGGCGACCGGCGCCTCGAGCTCGAGCACCTCAACGTCGTCCTGGAGACCTACGCCGACGCGCAGCCCGCGGCGCTCCTGCTCGACCGCGCGCGCGCGCACGCGGCGAACGGCGACTGGTACGAGGCCATCGCCGAGAGCGGCCGCGCGCTCAAGGCCGCGCCCGACGACCTCGAGGCGCTGGAGCTGCGGGGCCTGGCCTACTACCGCCTCGCGGACCACGCCATGGCGAAGACGCACTGGCAGCAGGCGCTCCGGAGCGACCCGGAGCACGAGGGCTGCAAGGCGGGCTACAAGAAGCTGCGCGCTCTCACGAAGAAGGACGCGGCGGGCGACGCCGCGCGCGACGCGGGCGACGACGCCGGCGCCATCGCCCACTGGGCCGCCGCCGCCGCCGTCGACGCGAGCCACGACGCCTTCAACGTCGCGACGCGTCTCAAAATCGCGCGCGCGCACGTGAAGTTGAAGGACTACGGCGCGGCCGAAGAGGCGTGCGGCGCGGCGCTCCGCGTCGCCGGCGACGACGTCGACGTGCTCTTGGTGCTGGCCGAAGCGCACACGGGCGGCGAGCAGTTCGACGCCGCCGTGCGCACCGCGACGCGCGCGCAGGAGCTCCGCGACGACGACGCGACCCGGAACGCGCGCGCCAAGGCCGAGGCCGCGCTGAAGCAGTCCAAGGAGGTCAACTTCTACAAGGTGCTCGGCGTCGCCCGCGACGCGTCGAGCCGCGAGATCAAGAAGGCCTACCGCGACGCCGCGCTCAAGTACCACCCGGACAAGATCGC